ATTATCGCTCCATAAGTTTAACTTTTGAGGGATAGGAGGCAAATAATGACATATTTAAGATTTATGAAGTTTCACAAGGGCAAAAAAAATTAATTTTATATTAATTATCTTTCTATTAATCTTAAAATTTTGCTCACGTCAAGAAAATGTAAATTACTTTTTATTAGTATTTATTTATGGCGTTGTTGTTATTTTACTAACATTAGGTCCGCTTCGTAATAAACTGCCAGCAGAGAAATAATTAGCGCCACTCAATAGTAACTAAGACTAAAAATTATCGGTCGGTACGCTAGAATGTGACTTTTTTTTTTACAATCTCTCTCAATTTCGTCTGGGTGTACATGAAAAGTTCGTAAAAGAAAGGAGGGGGTAAAACTTCACGGCCTAGGCCGTGAAAAAAAGACGGTATGATAGAGTCTCTAGAAAAGAGTCCCTTCACGGACGCCACCCAGCGCTCAAAAGTTGAACTTCTGGAGCGAGTATAACAAAAAAATATATTTTCTTAGTTTTTTGGAAATTTCTCAAAATCTACTGGTCAGCTAAATTTAATGTCATTCAATTTTATGTGCTGATTTTTTCAAATAAATTTTTTTTTTGATATAATTAATATTAATTACTTTGCATTTATTATTTGAAATATATTCGTTTCTTCTTTTTTTAACTTTTTATTTGTTGTCAAGGACTAGGGGGGCTACGCCCCCCCCCCAGCCCCCGCCCCGCCGGGACTATGCCCTTGGACCCCGATCTTGTACCCACATATATATCGCCGCATTTGTAATAAAAAATAGTATGTGCAACTCGTGCGACGTTGTCGCACTTATCTATGTATATGTATTAACACTAAATCATAATTATAATATGAATATTAATACTTCTCTCATAGTTTTAGTCACGCAAGTAGTCAAAGCAACCAAACAAAAAATTATTAGAAGTGACCATAAGCCAATGTCCACTATAAGAAAATCGCGGGATAACGAGGCATTCATTTTGTGAGTCACTAGTACAATAAAGTAGCGTAATCATATAATCATTGATGCTGCGAAATAAATAACAGTGACTATAGTTGAAATAGCAAAATAACGAGAAATTGCAAATAGCAAATAATGAGAATTTTTCAGAAATTTCATAAAGCTTCCTAAGCTATAATCCCCATAATCATTATTAACAAGCACAAAATAAAATTTCCAATATATGAAATGTTAATCATATTATTGTTTCTTAGTTAACAATACTTAGATCGTCGTAAATTTTTGTTAACACTGTTAAGTTCGTTAGCGTAATTAACAAAATCATTTTGACGCAAAATACAAAAAACCAGATGAAAACACAAACAAGACTTCCGCCAATCATTAGAATTGCTTGAAATACTATCATTGCCGATGCATATGCATCAGTTGTTGCCCATTCTGGTGATGAATACAACACTGCAGAGTATCCTACCAACAATATTACCAATAATACATTGTATAGAAGCCCGTGGGTGGAAAATTTACATGGATATTTATTTTTAATGTCGTTATCATTAGAGTCAAAACTATTAGAAATGTTCACGCTCTATGATGTTAATCCTAATAGTTTGAATGTCACAACGTTACAATAGATTACGATACGTATAATTAACAGAAATAGTTTATTGGTATTTTGATCCATACTAATGAATTGTAAATTGAATTTATTAATTAAAAAACCTTAAAATGATTCAATGTATGGATGATGCGACTTGTAAAAGTGAAAATATGAGCAATTGTGGTGGTATTTAGAAACAATCAATTAATTTTGTTTATCTTTATGGCACACGTCACACTAATGACTTTTTCAATTATCTATTTAAATTAATTGCTAGTACACTGAATTGATTGTTTTTAATTTATTGAATGAATTATGGAAGGTCTTAAAATTACTTACCATGCGCAATAATGATTTTAGACTTTGCATCAATTTGAAAAATTGATAAAATTATTTTATTTTATTCTCAACAAATTAAAATTGAAAAATAATTGTTAAATTTAAATATAGAAAACATATTATTTATAAAAATAATAACTGTGCTTCCTTTAAATTCTTGGTTGGTAAAATTGTTGATAAGAGTAGCTTTTAAATCTATACGTATTCAACTTAAATTAAAAAATCGGAAGATATATTACTATTGAATCAATAACAAATATATATTAAAAAATATTTATTTTTGTTTTTACAATCAATATCAATAATCTTATGAAATAACGTCGAATAAATAAAAGAAATAAAGATAATTTAAATACAATAAAAATTATTGTCACACATTTTTTTAATGAACAGTTTCATGTAATTTGCTTACAGAAGTGACTATTGATTCTTCTCATATACATTTTTTGTTCATTGAGTTAAATTATTAATCACATTTAAATAACTAAAATGATCAAACAGTGACTTAGACGAGACTACGGAATTTCTTTAACGCATATTGATTTATACTATGAATCAATAATTAGATTTTACTTTTATCACTTATTGTGTTTTACAAGGACCTAGAAGGTCATGCTCTCTTTCTGCGTGTGACTATCTTCCATGTTCCCTTTTATTAATTTTTCCTTGTATGGTCTCAATCTTTTCGAACGTCCCAATATTTTTATCTACAGTCACACGCAGTAGATCGCTTTTGCGGCTGTGGTCGACTTTAATTTTTACTGCCTCCGCATTTGCCTATGCCCCAACCGAGCACAGTGATCAGGAAAACCACAGAAAACCTGGTTAAGGTACAGCTGGCTACCGGTCGAAGCGCTAAGATTGCCGAAAAAGAGGTTCGAACCCTCGCCTGTCGACTGTCGGCCAACGAGCCAAATATTGATTTATACTACTTGCACGCAACGTCGTATGATCTTTATATTGTTTATTATAAAAATACTGAAAAAAACCGGTGTCGTTAGCTAATTGGTTTAAGGCACATGACCTATTGGCTCACCGGCCAGGCGTGGGTTCGAATCCCAAGCTGGTCTTGGAAACCAGCTTGGTTGAGATTCGACCCTTGCCGCGTAGGATAAGATTTTCACAACCTAAAAAGACCCCAACGTACCACTCCCAAAAGTTAAAGTCGGCGATATGACCACAGCAGTTAAAGCCGACTATAAATAATCTATATATATATATATATATATAATGAAAATGGTCTTCGTTTGAGGCTCAATCACGCCTAAACCACTGATCGTATCGACATGAAACTACCACCATTCGATGCGAAATTTTTCCTAGATGGTTTATGGCTATCTATTTTTCGAATTCCAACATTCCTTCATTTTTTTATTGCTGTTTTACTTTTATGAACATTTATCCCGCTAATAAAAACAAAAGATAAGCATTTTCTCTTGATTCTTTTGTTTTCATGGATTTCAACAGAGTATATTAAATGGACTCTTGGTAGGAATATTACTTTTGCTCTGTAGAGGTCAGCTATGAATAGATTTTAAGAAATTCATCCCCCAAAAGGGATTGCGGGGGCGTTAACAATGAACAATTCCCGTTTTTAAACTATAGCTCCTATCGACTTCAAATTTGGTAGGAATCTTCTGTAAAAGGTGTAGAAATAGGCTATGAACGAATTTTACGATAGCTCACCCCGCAGGGGGTTGCGGGGGTGGGTATTAACAATTAATATTTTTAATTTTCCAGCTAAAGCTCCTACAAGCTCCAAATTTTGTAGGAATTTTCTATAAGTGATGTAAAAATGATTTATGAACAAATTTAACGATATCCCACCCCAAAGAAGATTGCGGGGGCGTTAACAATGAAAATTTTCAATTTCCAAGCGATAGCTCCTATAGACTCCAAATTTAGTGAGAGTGTTCTATATGTAATATAAAAATGATCTTAGAGCAGATTTTACAATGAATCACCTCCAATAAAGTTCGCGGGGGTGGGTGTTAACAATAAAAAATTTCAATTTCGAAATATAGCTTCTAAAAATTCTAAATATGGTAGGAATTTTCTATTATTCACATAAAGATCATCTCAAAATGGATTTCAATAAAGTTTACTTCCGACAGGAATTGCGGGGGTAGGTGTTAAAATCTAGAATTTTAATTTCCAACCTGTAACTTCTACAGACTCCAAATTTGGTGGAGATCTTCGTGTGTGTAGGGATATTTGTGTATTTCCTTACAACAATCGTCTTTTTGGCAGCGGAGAAAAAGTCATTGAGAGGTTTCCAAAACTTAACTTTACATGTAGCTATCCAATCAACGGACTAAGAATTTTACATTCATTTTACATTTTAAATGCAATTTTAAAATTTCAATTTTACATTTTATTTTCTATAAAAAAATAATTTTACGGATTAAATTTTAGATAACAGAAAATTCGTCGCAATTGAACCTAGACAGATTTCAACTTCACATATGAGACTTGCAATGACTTTAACTTAAATTTTCAATGCTCATTTCAAATTTTTTTCTTCATGTCAATTATTATTAATTTTTGGAAGAAAGGCACGGAAATGTTATAATGATTGCACATTGAAAGTTACAATGAATATTAGTGAAAAAAATCACCTGGATGAAAAATACAGGCTAAATCGATGGAATTTGGAATTTGTGTAAGTCTAAACAATATCGATGCTTACAGTTCTATCCGCGGGGCCTATTTATGTTCATACAAAAATAAAAAAAAAGGAGAATAATAAAAATATAGAAAAAAAAAATAAAAATGAAACATAAAATGTAATTTATTTCCTTTTTCAATTTGCCCAGCGAAGCGGGCGGGAAACGGCTAGTAATTAATAAAAAAAAATCCTGAAGAACGTTTTTATAGAATTGAGACAGATAAATTTAAAGTGCCATTTAGTGGCGATAAATTAGTCAAACACGCTACTTACCAATCGATAATATATGTGTGTAAAAAATAAACTACTCACGCAACATACAAATTAATATAGATAAAAGTGACCGAAAGAGAAGTTTTGTTTTAAGGTGATTCTAGTATGCTCAGATATGATACGGACGGAATTATTTTATTAAAGTTATTTAGATCTAACGATATTTTTCTATCTGCGAATCATAATTACGATTTTTTTTTTCTTCAAATTGTTCTTAGTAATTGGATTTATATGCGTATAGGATTGAAGTTATTTACTTTTAACTACAGTTTGACCTCACTGATTAAAAAATTTTTCGTGGTCATGAAAATTGCATATAACTAAATCGATGATGCAGGAAATAATGCTTAGATTTACCCATATTTGCCATAATGTCATCAGAAATAATCTCAAAATAAATCATACCCGTGCAAATGTAGTATTACTATTGCGATTATGCGTTGCAAATTGTCTAAAAAGGGTCGCAATTCTCTGACAATTTCTTTGAATTCTCTTTTTCAATTTTTGCAATCGTTTTCCTCTATACTTTCTGACTCTACATACTAATTCGACTAAAAAGACGGAAAATGAAACAAGTATAACGATCGTGAGACACCACAAAAAAGATGAAAAGTTAGGTAAATCTAAAAACTCACATTGCTCATAAGCCTCAATTCTATTAATTAGTTTTTGCGTCTTTAATTGGCGCTCCAATCGATTTATTCTCTCAAAATAGTTTATAAAACCAGCCTCAATTAAATTCATGGCAGTTTTATCGATTTTGACTTTTAGCGGAAAATTTTTCCGTGTTGTCAACCAAAGATAGCTTTTAGAGAAAGACTCTTTCGATATGTGAAGATCAGCAATCTTAATTTTTTCGAGCATATAGTCAGGTATTATGCAAGCAGTTGAATTCTCATGAAGCTTTTCAATGCAGGATTCAAGATCGGGTATCAAATGTAAGTACTTATTGAATATGTTATTTTCCCAAATTTCTCCCAAAGTTTGGTAATCGAAATAATACACATCATAACGATTATCATGCAATTCATCTAACGTATCAATATTTTTTTCTACGCTCGGAATGGTCATCACTGATGTAAACTGACTCTGAAGCTCCGGGCCGACAATAAAAACAAATAACGTTGCGCTCAAAAAAGTAATCCGTATCAATAACCGATTTATGGAAGTTAATATCTCCATACCAAGAATAAGTAACCAAAGATCTATTAGTGCTGCTGCAAAATTGTACCGAGAGTTTAGCAAAATAATTACGAATATAATAAGTAAAAATATTGCTGATATTGTTAAAGTTTCATAAGCAAAGGAATCATTAGTCACTTCAGTTAAAGCTGGAATCGTATTTTGTTTTTTTGTTACTATCATGAAACCGTTTTGAACATAAATAGAAATGATATCTAAAATTTTAGAATCATCGTCATTCGGGGTATCCACGATTTCTAAAATCATGTCATACGTACCGTTTTTAAGTAAATTTAAATTTTGATTGAAATGACCATGAATTAAATTTTTTAAATAAATTATTGGTGTGACATTTAGAGCCGTAAACAGTTCGTTGTGAATAAAATGTTCAATTTCTTGTTCTTCGTGATATGCCTCGGGTGAAACTTTACCTTTAAAAACTTTATCGTAGTAGCCATACTTATAACCTTTTAGAGAATATCTATCCAGAGAATGGGTCTTGTCGAATGTCACACTGGAACAGATGCGTTGATCTGCAAAAAAATGTAAAGAATGTAAAAACAGAATAGTTGAAAGTTAGACTTCCGTAGATTGTTTTGACATGACTTACCATTTTTAAGGTGTTGCCGATAGAGCGTCCATCTGTCATCTGGTTGATCTTCTGTTTCTACCTGTTCCCACTGTTTTGGCGCCCTTTGCGTGTAGGGGTTAAAGGTATAGACGAGGCTTTCGTCACTCATCAACTCATGCTGACAAATGTAATAAGATTTCAACGCCTCCATCTTCCAGATCACCTGAAGAATTTCCGATGCCCGAACACAATCTTTTCCAACAGCAACAATTACTGACGCTGTATTCCAAATGGTCGATGATTTCATTTCCTGAAGGGTGTCCTGCAGTCTGTCCATTGATTCAGCTGTTATCAGATAACTAGGATGTCGTGTGTAGTATTGATTCATGACCTTTGAACTGAAATCGTTGTCAATAACAATGATGGACGAATCGATAGTTTCATTCTTTTGAATTTCGTACACCAAGTCCATCAACTCCACAGAAATCATCACCGGGTTCAATTCGTTCGGAAAACACAATTCTAGAAGCTTCCGCTGTTTTGAAACAACAAAATTGGTTTATCAATTAATTGAATTTTATCAAAAAATTTCGGAAAAAGTGTTTTCTGTACATAATTTCGAATTTTTTATTTAATCAATTATCTTATTTACTAAATTTAGATAATGATTCTACATTAATCCGCTATATGACTTACAGACGGAAAATTTACTTGGTCGATTAACTATAATTTATTGAAGAAAATAATAATTATCATAATATAACATTCTTCATAATATTTGATTGTCAATAAATCATTATAAAGGCATTTTTAATTAAATATGTCCAAAAAAATATAATCTTACCAATAAATGAATTTTGATCGTCTTGCAGGACGTGTTGTTTTTAGTACAAAAAAAAGTAAAGAAAGAAAATGTCTGCCTTTTTTAATTCAAAGGAAGCTTTTTAGAAGGCATCGGAAATAATGTAATTTTTTAAGACTTTGTCTAACTAATAGCTACCCGACTATAAATTTAAAAGTAAGACCAATTGTAGATATTTATTAATCATCTTAAAAATAACTTACAGCGTGAATGTGATAAGCCGGGCTTTTCGGCGTTGAAAAGTCGTAAACTTGTATCATATTGCAGTGGATTACACTCACGAACAAAAAACACAGAATAATCTCTTTCGCCCCCTTCATTATTGTCAATGTTGGAAAACGTTTGAATAAGTACTTGTCATTATAGAAAAAAATGGTCACGCCAGTTACGCCTGTTCAGTTAAGTTGTTTGCTCGTAACTGACGTGGTACAAAAATGATATGAAGTTCCCACTTCACCACATTAGTCGTTGAGGATACGTGTCCATTTACAAGAGGATGTCCTCGCTGCACGTCACTAAGCTAATCATGTATAAGTGCGTTATGGAATACAAAATTGCACACATATGTACGGTTGCCATAGAGAAAAACAAGTCAACTTTGAAATTCAACTATTGATTTGAAATATCTAGTCTTCTTCAATTCTAGGATTAGATAGATTTCTAATTCTATCAAGTATAATTTTATTACTTACATCGAAAATGTTTAAAAGTGATATCATGCATGAGAACACCGAAAAAAATACGTATAATCCACAGATTCGGTAGAATCTGGCGCCAAGTTCCGTTCAAATCCGTTGTCAACGGAGCGCCAGACTACCGACTGTGTTTACTGTAAGCAGAACGGTATTTTGAGGTTCCAAAATTTTATTTAATTCTACGGTACTTTTTTTTCCTAAATTGTATATTATAACAGTAATTCATGCTTTATTTTACTGTTATTAATTAATTATATTCACTTATAACAATTAATCTACTTGAAATTACTAAATTTGATCAGCACAAACTATAGCAACGCAAAAATTTCGATCCTGACTTTTTTTCGATGGGCAAAGTGATCTGCCACAGACTAAATAATTTGAGAATGCATAGTAATCCTTCATTAGATGGGAAACTACAGTTAAAAAAAGATATTTCACAGCTTGCATCTACACCCGCCAGGGTGCGCTGGAATTATTTTTACATAAACTGTAGCTTCAAGGGAATAGTTTGCTATAAAAAAATGCAGCCAACGCGAGATTTAAGTTGGTACCAATTGTAAATTTTTATTATAATTACAAAAAATACTAAAATCCGAACAAAAACAGTTTTACTGTAAAAAAAATCGCGGACCTCATGGCTCTGCTGTCTGGAAATGCTACAGAGAGTACGAAAGCAGCCCAGATGGAGGAGAACGGACAGCTGAGCAACGCTCCTCCCAAAAGTGGAGGACCTTTTGCTCCTGTCACTAATCAAACCCACCGAGGAAGAATGAACTCTCTACCGACGGTCGCCGGCCAACAGTCACCAATGGAGAGGCTCGGCAACAAGATTGATGAGTTAGTCGACTTCATAAAAGACAAGAAGAATCTCCATCATGAGATCAGGAAATTGGTTACGTCTATTAGTACGGCATATCCGAACAAAAACAGTTTTACTGTAAAAAAATCGCGCCAAGTCCACGTTCATGAGACTATTAAGAAAAAAAAATTAGTTTTTTTCTTTACAAAAAGATATAAAATTAAAAAATTAAAAAATCCAAGTAACCGGTATGATTGTTTATGATTTTCGGAAATTAAAAAAAATTTTTTTGTAAATTTAAAAATTAAAAAAACAATTTTAGAACGTACTTGGTGCGTCATATTGTGCATTTCAATTTTTTTAAAGTCCTATTAAATAGATTTTACGAATTTAATTAAAAGTAAAATATTTCGCAACAACGCACATTAAATACGTTCCAAAATTGTTTTTTTAATTTTTAAATTTACAGCAAAATTTTTTTTAATTTCCGAAAATCATAAACAATCATATCGGTTACTTGGGTTTTTTAATTTTTTTATTTTATATCTTTTTGTAAAGAAAAAACTAATTTTTTTTCTTAATAGTCTTATGAACGTGGACTTGGCGCGATTTTTTTACAGTAAAACTGTTTTTGTTCGGATTTTTATTATCACAGAAAGTTGAAAATTTTTTGCAGACTTACGAAACGACGCAAAAAGTTCTTCCCAACTAAATGGTTTTTTTCTGACAATGCAATACTACCGAAAGGTTGAAGTTTTAAGTTCGTAGTAAATAGTTTAGCAATACATGGAAGAATTATTTTTATCTTTACCATCCCCAAAAATTAACATGAAAATTTTTTTGATTCTGTTTGATAAATAATTCTTTAATCAAAAAAATGTAAATTAAAATCATCTATTTTAAAGTTATAGTCTATAAATATGAATATACTTTTAATGTAATAATCGATCGTGAGACTATACTTCTGAGTTCTCGATCCATTGTTCATGAAGAACGGAATTGAATCAATAAAATGAGGTTCGTAACAACCCTGATTAAAAAAAAGTATTGAACCTATGCAACTGTATATCTATATTGTATGTATATACAGATATACAGTTTTATGTGTAATTCAACACTTTTTCAATATTTTTCAATACTTTTTTTTAATCAGGGAATGGTCCTAAAAATCTAAAAATTGTAAATTTAACTCAAAATGTATTATCGCTTTTAATATATCATTTTATGACACAATTAATAATGAAAAATTACTAATAAAAATCGATGATATGAAAGAACCATTTAATTCAATTATCCTGTAATTACTTAACCCGAGATTTTTATGCAAGAGATCCCATGAGAATTCAATCTGCTGCACAGCTTTTCAGAATTCTTATAAAAATACCGATTGTTCCACTTCTTGATTAAGAAGACATCTTTTTTTTTCTCAGTTTTTTTGAGATTTCTCAAAATCTACCGATCCGAACCGGTCTAAACTGTATTCGAATCTAAATTCAGTCAAGCCCTTTCGAATGGCGCCAACCGCAATAAAATCGGTCAAGCCATTCAAAAGTTATGAAAGGCTTACATACACACACACACACACACACACACACACACACACACACACACACACACACACACACACACACACACACACACACACACACACACACACACACACACACACACACACACACACACACACACACACACACACACACACACACACACTA